CCGCCTTATGTAAGTAGGAATTTAGAATGTACATTTGGTATCAGACACTATTCTAAGCCGCTTTACCAAATAAAGTAGGAAATATGTAGATCAATCTCTCGGAGTAGTTCGGCTTCCCATTCAAACGTACTTTATACCATTAAGGGACATGTAATTATGAAAATGTAAGGCATTCATAATGTGCAATAGCCATGCATTAAATAAATTAGTTTGGCACCCAAAGAGCCTTACACGTAGCGGAAAACGTAAGCAGTACTTACTTCATAGCTTACGAAATAATGCACAAATAGAATGCATTACTAACCCAGGTCGTCGTGGTTCCCGATGTATTTTTGTGCGCTAAACACGGTTCTGGGGTCAAAAAGTGTCCATAACGTCATGGTTTTGAGAAAAGTGGGGGTAAGAACAAAAAAACCTGTTTTGGGTGTTTTTACATGATGCTGTGTATAAAAGTTAAAATAAATAGTAAATTAAAGTGTTTTGTAAAAAAATAAAATAAAATAAAATAAAATAAAATCAATTCTTTTGTGATTATTTCCCATTAAGCGCATAGATATCTTCCGTAAAAATAAAAGAAATGTTTTCGTTTTTAATTAATTTATTATAATTATGTAGGAACGGTTTATTTAATAAGCATATCGCCCCATTATGCGAGTTCGAGGGCGAGTTTAATTTCAGTCTGGCTGCGAACGAATAATTACACAGTGCACAAAAAATCAAGGAATAAAACTTAGTGTAGGTTGTAGGTAGGGTCGAGTAGAACAATTAAAATTGTATGTGTACTCGACCCAAGTCACAACATAAAATAAGTTTAGTTTCGGGTGTATTTCAGCTTCTTTTGTAGTACTGTGTAATAAAATTCTCTTTTGTCTATGAGGCATCTTAATATTAAATACATAGGAATTGATAATAGTTTTAAGGGTTTCAAGTAAATATATAGTATTTCAGTGCTCAGTAAGGCAAGTATTGATTTAGGTAAAAGGTAAATACTTCACATTCAAGTGTGGACAGTACTTAAAGGATTAATTTTGAGTATTATAATTTTAGTACAGTAGCGGAAAATAAATTAATAATAAAAATGTGAGTACAGATTATTGAATCGGTTTTAATGACTGTTTTTTCCTTTCAATACACGCGTTTTTGTAAAAGACGTTTTTGCAGTTTTTGAAGGCAGTTCTTATATCGCGTACATATTCCTTCTCTGTGTAACCATCCTTTTTAAGCGCTTCTGCAAAGAAATATGTTGATTAGTCATAAATTTCCATACAAAATTAATTGTATTTTACCAAATATCGCATTATTGAAGCACTTGTATTCCTTAAATGAAATTTTGTTATTGACGCCATCATAATTCATCATTAGGATGACCTTTCTGTCAATCAAACGTGCGATGTTTTTTGCTAAACCTTCAGGTGCAATAAGGGTTTTAATTACGGAAATCTGCAATTATATTAGGAACTATATAGATAATGCTCAAGTTATAATTCAGAAACAAAACGTACATAATGCTCTGAATTCTCGCTGCATGCAGATTCGATTTCCTTCATCTCGTTAATGCTAGGTATTGGGAATGATCTTTTCAGCTTATCTGGAAATTTTTTTTTTATTTGTTCCAGGATTGAGTACATTTTACTTGTTGCAGTTAAATTGCTTTCTGTAAAATAAAGAGAAAACATTAAGTTATGTAGTTACAAAAAAGTTTTATTACATCGATGGTCCTTTGCAATAACGACACAATTAAAAAAATAAAAACCTTTACTTTGTCTAATTCATGTCTAATCCTTACTACTTACTTTAGCAATCCTTACTTCTTACTTTAGTAAGGATTGGACATGATTATACAAGGGTTAGATACATGAGCCACTTAACAGTTGTAAGGTTTTTCTTTTTTTAATTTTGAATTGTGTCGTTATTGCAGAGGACTATCGACATGTCGAGCCGTAACCGCCAAAAAACGTATGCGGCATTTTTTTCAAAATGTTTTTTTTTTATGCAGAAATACTTCTAGGACGTCTAGATATACTTCTGCATGAAAAAGACAATTTTTAAAAAATGTCGCTTACTTTTTTCACTGTTATATACCGATATAATGTTATGTATATGAGTATGTTAACTTTAACACATACGCTCTACGTTTTCCAATTTCTGCAAAATTTGGTTTTGATTATCCAAAATAAGTTGTTGCTTACTTTCCAAAAGAGTTATTCGCTGCTCCAAATTTGTGTTTGCTGAAAAATGAGAAAGGGGTTGTACTTAAGTAATTAAGATAGGCATTTTTTTTAAATATATTAAATTTTATTTTTGTTTTAAATTAATTTAATGTATTTTATTACGTTTCAACTTTTTTATATTTTTTTTCTTTTAAATATTTTAATATAAATATTCAAAAGTAAATTGGTACTTAGACTTAGTTGTAGCTTTTCTGACAGATCACCCATTAAAAATTATTAGGGGATTCACAAGGCGTGTTAAGCATTTTAATGTCTTAAGCCTTCAAATTTGTCTATGGAGCATAACGATTAAAATGGTTATAGCGGGTTTGTTTTTTTTTTTGTAAAAATACTCTTCGCACATTTAAGAACCACCCTAAGTAAGTATAAAAGTAAGTACGTACCTGTAACAGCAAACTCGCTTGCAACGTTGTATGAATTCATTTCGGTGATTTCTATTTGTTTTATATTGTGAAATCTCAATTTTTTTATATTTATTTTTTTGGCGTTAGAAGTTAATTAAAATTGAGAATGCATGATAGGAATAAGCAAATATTTGTTATCATAGGGTAAGCATACTAACTTAAATAACACTTTTGCTATATGGAAGGATTCTTCTATTTGGTCAAAATTAATTTTTGCTATAACTATACCAAGATCATTGCCTGAATTCACTGGACTTGTAAAGAAATTTTCCATATCTTCGAATCTGCGCCCTACAACGTATTTTTCACCTTCTTTCATTACGAAATTCGTGACAAAAATTGGAATGAAAGGCTCCACGCAGCATACGTTATCAGGCGTTTTAATACTTAACATGAAGTTTTTTCCAAAATACTTAGTTATAACACCGTTTTTTTTTCTTTGAAAGTCAAAGCATTTTTCATCATAATTCTCGCATTTATTGGAGTAAAATATGTTTAACTGTTGCAAAATCTTTGACGGTTTTCTTATTCTTCTTTTTATTTCCTGCAACTTATTCTCAAATTTGTATGCAGAAAACTCTTCTATATGTCCGATTTCACGAACGCATTGTGATATATGAAGCATACTGTGAATGTTATATGACAAAGAGTCTGGTGGATACAAATTTGAGTAGCCTTCAACAAAATCTTTGAGCATAAGCTCAGCTATATTCAAATTACTCATAAATTTTTTGGACATTAAAAGCCTGTATGCGCAGTGGAATAATAGAAAGTGATAGTAATAATTATCTGGTAATATATTTTTTAACACCAATGGCCCAGTATACAAAATAAATTGTCTGAATTCTACTGCTTTCCATCTTTTTAATTCTTCAAGTCCTCTGGGCTTCCGTGCAAAATCTGCTGGCATAAAACGAGCTAGCAACCCTAAATTTTCATTTATTTTGGTTATATCTGTAGAAGCGATTTTAAACATATTTGTTTTTTTATTAACAATAAAATTTAATATTTTTCTACACACTCCTAAATCTAACAAATGCATCGGATCGATGGGAAATTGTGACACCATTTTTATATTTATATCCTCTAATATACATTTGGTATGCCTAAAATAGTCTTTATGATGATTTGGATCTGCTCTTGTATAAAAATCAGAATCCGTCCTCAACGGCCCACACTCTTTTGAAAACGTAGTTGTGTGGTTAATCCGCTTTCCAGCTTGGACGCATTTTGAGCAACCACTAAATGCGTTATGCCCTACGACTCCGCAAAGGAATGCCCTTGCCGGTGCGTCGCACACAAATGCTCGCAGTTTAATTTTAAAAACTTTGTTATTAATTTCCAATCCATAAGTGCTTAGTTCTTTAAATTCATCTGCAAAATCGTGCAAAAAGTTATTCACATTTGCAGGTTTTTCATTCCCTAAATATGCGCCAATGAGAAAAACAAAGCCATTTCCCAAACTAACAACATGACCAAGAATAGGCCATAAATTTTTGCGAGAGCTCTTGAAGAGGGGTAAACCATCAACCCCTACATCAAGCGCAATTTCTTCCAGAGCACTAACTCTTTCCGAAATTGATAATAAATAAGATTTTATGCCTAAGTGGAAGTATTCTCCAGGACAAACAGTTCTAATTATGGTTTTGTTACAACTTTTTATAATAGATTTTGAAGAACAGGGAACTTCTATTTTTTCTGACTTTAGTATTTTTAAATAATCATCGAAAGCAGATCTAGTTGGGTGATGATTTTTATAAAAATCAACTAGTTTTTCTCTAATTGATTTATTACTATGACTTTTTGTGATACTGTATGCTTCAGTTAAATTTTCTTTATCATTATTGTTAATAGGAGGCGGAAGATTTGTTATAATTTTCACTTCTTCTGCTGCTCCACTGTTGTGCACTTCCTCAACTGCATCAAGCTCCTGCAGATCTAACAGCTCTTGCTTCTTTTTTGAGGCTAAGCGTCTCAAATTTCTTTTTGAAAAGCCTTCCATTTTGCAAATATGTATTTTAGAATCAAGATGTTGCTCACAATCACTTCTATTTCACTTCTTTAAAAATCACTGCTTTTTAAAACATTAACTTCGCGAAAAGATGTGTCCACGCTGACAATATTTTTCGATTAATATTTTTTAACGCATATTATGTATGTTTTCAAATGAAATTTATAACTATTTTTCAACGCTTACTGCTCTAATAAAAAAAATGTTTCTCATAAATATGTACGTGTGTACGTCATCGATGAGAGGATCTTACCATATACCTTCCAAGTTAAATGGGGCGGGAAAGTAAATATTATTCGTGCAATCGTTCGGCGGCTGAGAAAAAAATTATTTTCGGCGACACATTATTTCACAACTTACAACGTAAGGCGCCATCGGAGGTATTCATTTTGTGCTTTACTAATAGATGCCATTGATCATGATAAAAATTTCGGTACTAAAATCTGAAAGAAAACATGAATTACTCCGTAAGGTGCTTACCTATTTTCCCAGTGGGACTAAAAACTGAAAGATAACATGGCTTACCTCGTAAGGTGCTTACCTATTTTCCCAGTGGGATATGGTTCGTTCTTTTTTCATGTGGGCCGCATGGGTAGATAAAATAAATTTGTTAGTCAAACTTCATATCACAGTAAGTAGTAGAGACCTTAATTAAAACTAAAACAACTGTAAGATAAACGACAGGCATGAACTATTATTAGTTTTTTTTTTGTTTTGTATTTAACCCTTTGAAGGCCGACTTAAGTTGAGTGGGGCTAAAACTTTGAAGGCATATTATTGTCGATTAATTTCTTAAATATCGGGGCCAATAGTAAGGTCAGGAATAGCGCGAATTGTCGGGAGATCCTTAATTTTTAGATATTCTTCTTCTTCTTGATTGGCGCTGTAACCGTCTAAGTGATTTTGATTGAGTCCAATAAAGCACGCCAGTCGTTTCTCTTCAGTGTCAACTAACGCCAAACTTTAAATGTCAAGTGAATCCACATCCTTCTCTATCTGGGGCCTGTAATAAAAATGGGGCCTTCCTATTTCTCTATTACCAGCATCGCGACCCGCTTTGAATAATGTCAGAGTTAGAGCCGGCGTAGCCGCTGTGTTTTAATTCCCCGCTGTATGACAATATCTATTTTTGGCTCAGATTTTGAAAAATAGTCGAAATACATTCCTTTTCCCCCCAACAAACTACTGAGATTCATCAAAGAGTCCGATAAGTTTGTGATCCATGTCGGTTTTCCTTAATCGCAACAGTTTCGAGTTTACTTGCCTTTTTATGAATTTTACAAGAACGGACAAAAGTGAAAATTTATGTGTGTAGACAAACCTTAAACAAGGTATCTGGCTACGGTTAAAGGCCAAAACACAATAGCGCAGTGGCAGTGGCAGTGACAGTTTTTAAAATCAGCTGTTACTGCTAATATTGGCAGTCAATGCCGCAGCAAACACAATACGGCGTTGTCAGTGACTGCTTTTTTTGACATTCCCTTTTGTTTGTTTACATTTTTGTTGTTGCCTTTTAGGCTTCAGTGACATCAACAGATGTTGGCTGCGTTTCATTTATGTCAAATTCAGCATGCGAAGTTTGCTGCGATGAAGGCAGTGGCAGTGAATTTAGAATTTGGGCTAAACTGAGCAGTACTGCTAGCTGCCACTGCTGTATTGTGAGTCGCTTCATTGGACACCACACTTTCTAAAAAACAGCTGATTTCGAAAAACTGCCGCTGCCACTGCCACTGCGTTATTGTATTTTGGGCTTAACTGTTAGGGTTAAGTAAACCACTAAAATAATTGGGTGGTTCACAAGGTACGTACGTGTCGTATTGTCGTATGTTGTAAAGTTTTTAACGGCTAAATAAATTTTTAGAGGACTTGAAATCACCAACAAATATTTTTTAACGGTGTGAAATTTCATAATAAAACTTTTATGTTAGCTTGCGAATTCCTTAAATATAGTTTTAGCCGCTTAAAGTTTATGACATACAACAGTACGACAGTAAACAACACCTTGTGAGCTCCCTAAATATAGGTAATGTTCTACAACATTTCCAGTTGGATTTTAGAAAGCGTCAAGTTGAGTTTAGAAAGCACCAGTTGAATTTTTTAATGATTCATACTCTATACATAGACTTTGTTCTGACTGATTTTAAATATTGCTGAAAAATCGGATTATAAACCGATGGCTAAGTGGAAGATCGACCTATCTCGACAACCAGTTCGAAAATGCCCTATCTCAAAAAATTGCTCAACAACGCTCTATTTTAGAATTTGGTTGAAGAACGCCCTATTCTAGAATTTGATTGAAAAACGCCCTATCTCAGAATTCGGTTCAAAAACGCCCTATCTCGGCTGCCAATTCAAAAACGCCCTATCTCAGCTCATTTGCAATGTATTTTCGGTTGAGATAGGGCGTTTTTGAAACGAATTCTAAGAGCGTTCTTCAAAAAAATTCTGAGATAGGGTGTTTTTCAATAAAATTCTGAAATAGGGCGTTCTTCAATCAAATTCTGAAGTATGGTGTTCTTGAAAAGTTTTCTGAGATGAGGCGTTTTCGAACAGGCAGCCGAGATGTCGATCTTCCATTCAGCCATCGAAATAGTTTTTATTAGGTTTTAGCAATATCGTATTGCTGTTGTTTTCTAAAATCCAATTGACATTTTCTAAAACCCAACTGACCCTTTCTAAAATGCAAAAAAATAAGCTACGTGAAAACCCGGTACGGTAATACCGCCCAAAAATATTTAAAAAAAACTGGTTGAAACCTGTTTGAAAAAATCGTGTCAATCACCTTAATATGTACTCACTGCCGGTACTTGCTTTTTAATGGGACATCCAACATCACGTTCAATAATAAATCGTGTCCTGTAAATCTACTCCTTATACTTATATGAACGTTTAAAACCTTAAACCACTGACACTACATACGAGCAGATTTAGTATTAGTTGCGATCCCGCACGAATCCGAACTGATAAGAAATAGTCAGACGTGTTTCCCCATACACACCTTTTTAATACCTTCAGTCCTATTTTCTGGACCAATTCTGACTATTTCTAAAAAGTTTGGATTCGTACGGGATCGCAACTATTGTTTTACGTACAAAGTCTAGTTAACGATAACTGACTACAATGTAGAGTCTACATACTTCGAACGGGTAAGAAATGACGCTATGGAATAAACATTTTTGGGACATAGTAACTACTCCTAAAAGACCGAAAGTAGCTTAGCTAAGTGTAAGGCAAGCCAGAAGCTTAGATGTCCTGCCGTTTACAATTAACAAAAATTTTAAGTTTTATACATATTCACTCAGCATGCAGAATATGAGCTCCAACCAACTACATATTTACAATCCGCCATAAACAATCAGCAACATTGAAAAAGCCAATCAAGAAGTCCTTCTTTTCAAATAATTGGGAATAGGGCGCAGCCTACAAAGGGAAAGAAGCGAAATGAAAAACATTTAACTATAGCATAATTTGGCGCTAAAAACGATAAATAAAACAACAGCTACAAAACAAATTGCTTTTCATTTATGTGCTTTTCCCACGAGAGAGCCGCAAAACTAAGGAACAGTAGCCGCCAAAGGGTGGACCGAAATGAACCTGTTTTGTGGGGAAAGCAAAAAATAATAAGCCGCCCAATTGCTGGAGAACAGCCGCAACAGAAAGACGTCATGCGCAGCAGCATGTATGGCTAAAGCAACTTAAGAGTAGAAGTGCAATTTATTAAATGTAGTTACGGCAATTAATCTTGTAAAGAGTGCATACACGTACTTACGAGTACACCTCCAACTGTATTTAAAAGGAAGGGAATGCGGAAGGAATGTTTAATGAAATCAAGTTAATGCGGTTAATGAGAAGAGTCGATTATGAGCCATAGCTTTTGGAAAAGGAAGCTCATTTTTTAATATACATTTATCCACACAGCACAAATATTCTTGATTTTTCTTTTAATTTTCGTATAAACTTACATCTAATTAAGGATTACATAGCCCAATTAACGAGTAGATAATTGCTGTCATGTTGCTAAAGTTTTAACCTATTAAAGCTATTAATAGTCGGGTAAGTCATTGGGCACGGTGCCGTCCAAGTCAAAGCATCGGCAAGTGCAGGAGCTAACAGGGCATTCAGAATTTTGTCTGTACAATACATAAGAAGAATACAATGTATATTATAGAATATATACATATGTAAAGTAGTACATTAACGCGACTTACTTAAACCACTGCATCATGTGTTCGGTATGGCCGCCATGTCGACATGTCTGACACCAGGAGAACCACTTCGAAAACGGTTTCGACTGCCAACCCAAACTTTCGTGGGTCGCATCGCTGGGTAGCGAAATATTCAGCGTAGTGCCCATGTGTAGCAAGCATAGAGAGCAACGCGGTAGTGGTTTGCGGCAACTAGGGCAGGAGGAAAGCTGCGGAGCGGTTAAAATGAAAAGGCTGTTTAGAAAAAATATACACATTTTTTTTTGTCGCATATTAAGCCTACTTTATTCACATTCGAAGATGCACTGGGCATGCGCGCATCCTCCTGCAAAGCACTCGTCACTGATTTGCCACAAAAGTTACACGAGAGAAAAACACTGCGCGTGGTGCGTGTACCGGTGCGTTTCTCCCAAAGGCCCCACGAGTTTAGAACATCTAAATAACTGTGTAGCAAGCAAGTAAATTAAAGTTATATTAAAGTAAGCAATAGAAGTGTTAGGTTCCCCAACCTGCTAATCCAATATTGTATGCGATTATCTGCGAAATGTTCGCGATGGAAATAATTGATAGTCTGCAACCGGTAAATTTCATTTATTAATTCAGAATTATAACAAGTATCACCCTTTTAGCTCACCAGCACCGCATCGAAGTTATCATTCTCGGTGGTGAAGAATGAGAATATGGCACGCAAATGTGCATCCTGTATTTGTTTATTGGCATATGAGCGTTGGTTACGCCAAGTCGAGTTGCAACGATCTGCATTAAAGCTGGATAGGGCAATAGCGGCAATGCGAAACATGCTGGCATCGTGAGGATCCTTCGAGTTGCGTGAGAGATCTGCAGCTTTTGAGAGTATGTCGCAAACAAAAACGATTTTTAGATGAAATACGCAAATCATGGCAGCGCGGCTGAACTCCTGCAATGAAATACAAAATAAAGACAACAGTGACAACAATTTAATTCAATTTATATTTCAGTTAACAATTAAACTCACCTTGTTGTCACATAGCCCGTTTACGATGCGCTCCAAGTCCTGTTCGAACACCCAGCCGCAGAGTTTCAGCGCCACATCGCGTTGTTCACTTCTGCAAAAGGAAATACATTTTAGAATTATGTAAATAGCTATATCTCTAAAGAATTAAGTGCCAAGTTTACCTGTAGCACACCAAATTATTGGAATTTATGAAATCTGGCCATTGCAATACACGCGATTCAATACGCGATGAGGCCATCAACGCCTCTGATGCGTGACCTAAACTAATGCCCAAGATGGTTTTCAAACCCGTTAAGCGTTCTTCCCTATACAAATTACTCAAAGTTAGCCAAACACTTTTCAAATATGGTGTCAAAGGCAACCCGTCGACATGCCTATCTGTCTTCAAACCATAATCACTAAGAGCACGCTGATAGGTTTCTTCAACCAATTCTTCTTTGGATAAGATTTGGTCAAGAATCTCGAAATTAAGCGCCGAATTGAGTGTGAATGTAGATATAATAGATGAAGTGCTTTGGCTGCTATTTTGACGTGTTGGAGTGCTTGCAATGGCTAGCGGACGCTGTGGCAGGAGCGGTATTTTTTTATGATTGCTAAAGTGCTGAGCAGAGAAAGCGGTAAACGAATTTCCAAAATGGTCCCTAAAGTGAAAAAAAAACGATTGTGTTAAATAAGTTAATAACGATGTCTCAGATTTTTAAAATTGCAAAAAAAAACTTCCACCGAAAGCAGCAAAGCGCGCTCATAATCCGTGTTGTGCCAGGAGATATAGGTGAGTGTCGGCGGTTTGTTTGAAGCATAGTACTTAGCTTGGAATGGCTGCAGCTGTCGCTTCACATGGTACACCTCTCGACTGCTTTCTGCGTCCACGCTGCGTAAATCATAGAGGGTGATGAAGGGAGATTCACGTTGTAGCGAGGTAAGTAAGCTGGATCTGTAAGTACATAATTTTGTAATTAGAAGCCTTTTCTCCATAGAATAAGGAAGTTGTCGCACATACCGCGTTGGACACCAACTAAGTTGTAAATGATAGTGGGCAGACTCCGAGTGTCCAAAGAAACTTACTGTAAGAATATAAGGAAAAGAGAAAAGTATTCCTTTGTAGAGTGTAGATTGATTCAAAGCATACTAAAATGAAAATAAGCGTGGACCTTAATCCAGGTTTTATTACTTGCGGCTACTTAAACTCATGCAGTTTCCTATTAGATTCAAGCCTGATGCCAAGGTTTTATACAACCAAAAATCATTAGTGCATCTGCATTGTTTTCACATACGGCATATAGTAAAACTCACCTGCATCTTTGGGGACACCACGTTCTATTTCCCAAATTGCAATACATGAATCGGAGCGATGACGATCATGTCCTATGGCCAATACATTGTGGTCAAACTCATTCCAGGCTAGACAAAAGCACATGGGTTGCTGGCGTGGTGCTGCAGGGTGACAATTACAAGCAACAATTATACTAAATATACAAACTTGTACAGTGTTAAACTCACTAAATTCCCAGCTATTGTCGACAGTTTCATGAAAATCGCAAATGCCAACTTTTCCATCTCCCAATCCAACGGCGATAATCGGCCGGTTTTTGTGGTAGGACGGCTGCACACAACGCGCATACTGGTACCGCGTCTCTGTGGCTAAGAAGTTAGCCGGGTAATTCTCTAGGGTGGGGTAACAACCTCTAAAAAAAGGTGCGGAAAAGTCGGGAGGGGTACCAAACGACGCGTTTCGGCCCCCCTAATAACAATCCGGGAGGGACTAATATTATTAACCATTTAAAAGTTATGAACAAAAAACTTTTGTTAAATTTCGTTGTTTTCTATGGGCAATTACACCGACAAAGATTCACTAAATCACCTGTTCTCACTTTTTAAACACTATTAAAATATATAATTTTGCGAGCCGAAACGCGAGATTCCAAAATAACGGGTGATTTTTTAAGAGCTTGATACCTTTTTTTTTAAAAAAAACGCATAAAATTTGCAAAATCTCATCGGTTCTTTATTTGAAACGTTAGATTGGTCCATGACATTTACTTTTTGAAGATAATTTCATTTAAATGTTGACCGCGGCTGCGTCTTAGGTGGTCCATTCGGAAAGTCCAATTTTGGGCAACTTTTTCGAGCATTTCGGCCGGAATAGCCCGAATTTCTTCGGAAATGTTGTCTTCCAAAGCTGGAATAGTTGCTGGCTTATTTCTGTAGACTTTAGACTTGACGTAGCCCCACAAAAAATAGTCTAAAGGCGTCAAATCGCATGATCTTGGTGGCCAACTTACCGGTCCATTTCTTGAGATGAATTGTTCTCCGAAGTTTTCCCTCAAAATGGCCATAGAATCGCGAGCTGTGTGGCATGTAGCGCCATCTTGTTGAAACCACATGTCAACCAAGTTCAGTTCTTCCATTTTTTGGCAACAAAAAGTTTGTTAGCATCGAACGATAGCGATCGCCATTCACCGTAACGTTGCGTCCAACAGCATCTTTGAAAAAATACGGTCCAATGATTCCACCAGCGTACAAACCACACCAAACAGTGCATTTTTCGGGATGCATGGGCAGTTCTTGAACGGCTTCTGGTTGCTCTTCACTCCAAATGCGGCAATTTTGCTTATTTACGAAGCCATTCAACCAGAAATGAGCCTCATCGCTGAACAAAATTTAAAGCGCGAAACACATTTCGAACCGAACACTGATTTTGGTAATAAAATTCAATGATTTGCAAGCGTTGCTCGTTAGTAAGTCTATTCATGATGAAATGTCAAAGCATACTGAGCATCTTTCTCTTTGACACCATGTCTGAAATCCCACGTGATCTGTCAAATACTAATGCATGAAAATCCTAACCTCAAAAAAATCACCCGTTAGATATAGTGCTGCCACTGTATTAGTATTTCGTAATAATTCACTTTACCTTATTGTGGCGAATACTGCGGCAACACAAAGCGAACAACGAGAAATAGGCAGAATGTTCGAGGAATAACGTAGAATGTTCCACAAAGAGAAACGTCAAGTTGGATGAACACTGCGAACAGCGAGAGAAAGAGAACGAGCGATAAACCATGATAAAAATATAGTAAGGTAGAACCGCTGAGAGTCACTTTTAAAATTCTTGACGTTTCCAAACAATTTAATTTTTAAATTTACTCACAAACTCACACACACATTTTCATTTTCAATCTCAAGCAACAACAATTTCGTACAATTTCAATTTTTTATTTTCACTTTTATATGATTTTAAAATGTTGGCAAACTTCAAAAAAAAATCATGGCCGACAAATTGAGAGAACGGTTATACCCATGATTCAATTATTAAAGGTTTTGTAAGTAGCTTTTTTCTAAAATTTGGCACTCCCACCCACAGGGATGGTTTTTGGAAGCAGAAGAAAAAGGGGAAGAATTCAATCACACTTCCTAAAATGGGAGCTAAATTCTATAAAAACGTGTGGATAATAGTGAATGGTGGTATTTTAAAACAAAAACGAATTTGATTTAATTATTTAATTTAAACAAGCTTAGTTACATCGAATATAACCCCCTATTGTTATTAAAAATAAATATTTCTATGTTTATACCAAACTTGCGTACGTCAGATGGCGCATAACTCGAGAATGGATGGTCCACTTTCAGCTTTTTTTTGTTGTATTTGTTTGCCAGTTGATGGACATGAAGAAGCTATTTGTTTGCGGAAAATATGCAATATTTATTAAACAAAAAAACGGCAAATAAAAAAATTTGGAGCTTACGTTTCTTTCGCGGTTATGGCTCGATTGTTTCGAATTCTTTGATGTCGCACTTTTTATGTTCTGGGGAAAATATTCAACACTGGCTTGCACAGCCGCAGTTGGCGATTGGTGCCGGACGAACTCAGAGCACGCAGCTACTGAACGACTGAGATAGGGAACGTGATCTACATCGTCAAATGAGAAGTGGCGTAATGGGGCTTTCGCACGAGGCGATTTTTCAGGCAACTTTTGCGTTCAACTCCCGCCGGGTTGCACGAAAAAAAATTTGAATGACTAAAAATATCAAAATATAAAAAAATATTAAAATATTCGCCATAAAAAGGCGTTTGTATTGTTCAATTTTGCATTCTACTTTCAGCTAATCGCTTTCAATAAAGTTGGTCGCCAGCCAACATTCGCCTCGTGCGTACACCTTTTAAGTGTGCAATTACATCGCGCCATTGACTAAACCGAGCTGTCGTGTGACGATTGGGCCTATGGATGCGGTTTGGCAATGTTATATTGCGTCAAAATCTCATTCGGAGACACCAGGATTGTGTCGTGGAGTACAATACCTAAATACCTTCGTTGGCTCATTGAACGCTTTACTTTACAGCGACTTGGCAGAATCAAGAGGTCTCCACGAATATCGACAAATACATTTCGGCATTTAAGGGAATTTCGTTTCTTAACATTGAATTTCTGTAGTCCAACGATTCTCACCCATTTTGTCTTGTTGGCGCCAGCGAATGCAGAACAAACATTTCTTCAAATTTAAAAAGTAAAAATTTCACTACTAACAATTTAAAAATGTTCTTAAAACTTGCAAAGAAATTTGGAAAAGAAATATCACTGTTTTTGTTTTTAGGAGTAGGGTGGGAGTGTCATTGATAAAATTAGAGCGAGAGAAAGTTTTTCTTACAAAACCTTTCATTATTGAATCATGGGTTATACCTTGCTATGTTTTTATCATGCGATAAACTTCAGAACGTTCTAGAGTTGCCATAAGTGTGAGCGCAGGTATATAAGAGCCACGACACAGCGGAGTGGGGACAGTTACAATTCAGCAAGCTACAAGTAATGTGAGCGGAGAATCGAGTTGCGAATAAGCAAGCTATAAGTTTAATTGTGTTAACAAGTAGTAAAGCGTTGTTATTGCTTTAACAAGTATTGTAAAGTGTTTTTACTGTATTAGCAAGTATTGTAAATTGTTTGTTGTACAATAAAGTTAATTGTACTACAATTCGGTTATCGTTA